GGGCTCCTAGGAGGGGGCCGAGGGGCCGGCTTCAGGTGGAGGTGAGCCCAGGCTGGGCCCAGGAGCCGGCGCCGTGGCGCCATGGATAGCGCATTGGACTTGTGACTGAGTCCGGCGGGGGTCGCTCAAAGGTTGTGGGTTGGAGTCCCACCGGGGTCGGGTTTTAGCGTCTCCCCCCTTTCTTTTGTGTGGGTATTTTATGGCCTCCATACGTGCATAAGGCTCAGAAAGAAGACCCGCAGTCGCTGCTAACTCGGCTTCGGCACAGCAATGAACTTGGCATCTGGCTTACTGCGCAGAAGTCGTTTTTCATTCATGGAATCTTGTAAGCAGTCCGGCACACCTGTTGGTACAAAGGGCACGGATTTGGAGGCCCTTAGGTCATCTCGGCTTGTGATCACTCTGGACACTGCAGCAAACCAGTTAGTCTGTAAAACTATGACCTTATTTGTTATGCCACCCTCCGAGCCACAGGCAATCTGCCAGATTCAACGGCCCTGAAATCTTGGTTTCTTGATGACCAACCATGCTGGGTATCCACAGTGGCCACGTGTCCTTAAATAAAGCCCTTAATCCTTTAGTCCAGTAGAAATCTTTAAAGGAGGGAGGGGCAGTCTTCAGTGTTTATTTATAGGACTAAAGATGAAATTTTGATCTGATAAGAACTTGGACCTATTTCTTCTGGAGTACAGGGTGCATCCTTTTGGAGATTTGGGTAAATTCAAGCACCGCCTTCTCCATGGGTATCCTATTCAGGAGGCAGCATGTGCAGTGGTTATGAGCATGGGCATTGGCATCTAGGAGACTTGGGTTCAACTTTTCAGATAAAAGTCCAAAGTCTTATTTTCTTCTTATATACAAACATGGGGGCTGGGGACAGTGGCTCATGCCTGTAATCCTAGCACTCTGGAAGGCCAAGGAGGATTACTTAAGCCCAGGAGGGGTTTTTTGTTTTTTGAGTCAGAGTCTCACTCTGTCGTCCAGGCTGGAGTGCAGTGGCATGCTCATGATTACAGCAGCCTCGACCTGCTGGGTTCAGGTGATCCTTCCGCTTCAGCCTTCCAAGTAGCTGGAACTACAGGCGTGGGCCACCATGCCCGGCCAATTTTTTAATTTATTGTAAAGATGAGGTCTTGCCAAGTTGCCCAGGCTGGTCTTGAAACCCTGGGCTCAGGCAATACTTTCACCTCCACTTCCCAAAGTGCTGAGATTACAGGTGTGAGCTAACGCACCTGGCAGAACTGAAGAGTTTGAGACCAGCCTGGGCAACATAACAAGACATCGTCTCTACAAAAAACAAAAAAATTGACTGGGTATGGTGGCGCATGCCTGTAGTCTCGGCTACTCAGGGGGCTGATGCGATAGGATTGCTTTAGCCCAGGAGTTTGAGGCTGCCGTGAGCTGTAATTGTGTCACTGCACTCCTGTCTGGGCAACACAGTAAGACACGGACTCAAAAAAAACTAACATACACTTAAAAACAGGACAAACTGGCCAGCCTGTAATTCCGGCACTTTGGAAGGCCTAGGCAGGAGGATTGTGTGAGCCCAGGAGTTTGAGAGCAGCCTGGGCAACATAGCAGGACCTTGTCTCTACAAAAAAATTTTAAAAATTAGCCAGGTATGGTGGCACGCACCTATATTCCCAGCTACTAGAGAGGCTGAGGCAGGAGGATCGCCTGAGCCTAGGAGGTCAAGCTGTGGTGAGCCATGATCGTGCTGCTACACTTCAGCCTGGACAAGAGTGAGACTCTGACTAAAAAAAAAAATTCAATTAAAAAAAACTTTTTTTAGCCGGGTTCAGTGGCTCAGCCTGTAATCCCGCGCCTTTGGGAGGCTGAGGTGAGTGGATTGCCTGAGCCCGTGGGTTCGAGACCCGCCTGGGCAACTTGGCGAGACCTCATCTCTACAATAAATCAAAATGAGCCGGGTGTGGTAGCATGCGCCTGTAGCTCCAGTTACTTGGAAGGCTGAGACGGAAGGCTCGCCGGAGCCCAGCAGGCGAGGCTGCGGTGGCCGGGAGCAGCCACTGCACTCCAGTCTGGGCGACAGAGTGAGACTCCAACTCAAAAATAAATAAATAAATAAAATAAAAATAAAAAAATAAAATTTTTTTTTTGCTTTCCAATCCACTCAGCTGGGATGCAATCCCAGCCCCAGCTGTGATTTGAGCAAATCCTCCCTCTTCATGAAGCCTCTGTGTCCTCACCTGAACACAAGTGGGAATATAGTCATCATGGCCTCTGCCTCTTGGGGCTAGGTAAGGATTCAAAGAGATGACGCAGGTCAAGCTCAGGGCTGGCACCTGGAAGGCCCTGGGCTGGCATAACCACTCAGCTCCAAGGGCGGGCTGGAGCTGTCTCAATCGCTGGGGAATTTCCAGTGTCTACATTCATCAAGTGCTCTGGAGATACTTGTGAAGTAATTGACAACTAGTGGGCTTGTGCATTACAAAACAGGGAATGGAGGGCCATTTGGTGGGAAAAGTGACTGGAAATGCTTTTGTGTGCCTGCTGCACCACCTAACCTGGGGGCAGTGAAGAGCCATTGAGGGTGTTTTTGGTTTTTTTGTGTCTGGGTCTCACTTTCTTGCCCAGGTAGAGTGCAGTAGCACAGTCATTGCTCTCTGCACCCTCAACCTCCTGGGCTCAGGAGATCTTTCCTCCTCAGCCTCTTGAGTAGCTGGGATTATAGGCGTGCGGCACCATGCCTGGCTAATTTTTTTATTTTTCTGTAGAGACAGGGTCTCAGCTAGGTTGCCCAGGCTGGTTTAAACTCCTGGACTCAAGCAATCCTCCTACCTTGGCCTCCCAAAATACTGGGATTATAGGTGTGAGTCATTGAAGGTTTTTAACAAGGGCAGGGACTGGGTCCTGGCACTTGTAGGACAGGCGTAGCTTAGGCTGACCTCACAACGATCTCTCTACTCATATGACCTCCATCTAAACTGTATTAGAGAGCTAACATCAATCCTGGAGTCTTTGGACTTGTCAGAAACTGACATTTGGACTCACATGAAGGCATTCAGGATCCCCGAGGCACTGAACTGGTTTGACCCCTGGCACACAGTAGGTGCTCACCCCATTGATACTCAGTTCCATTTGGCATTAGGACTTCTGAGCAACAGAAATCCTCCCACTCTGGGTGTGTGCAAAATAAATACCTCAGGCTTGACTTTGTACATAACTGAAGGCGTGGGTGCCTTTTTTGAGAATTCAGAGGCCTCCAAGAACCTTCTTGGCAAATGGCATTTCCATTTCCTAAGTGCTTAAGCTATGGTGATAGGCACTAGCCATAAGCAATTTTACTGAGTCTCACAACAGACCTTGCTGTGAATACGTATACTACTCTTCCCATTTGACAGAGGAGAAAACAGAGGCACAAAGGGGTGATAGGAATACTGCACAGGTGCAGAGCTTGTCACTGGCAAAGCCAGGTCTGTCTTCCTTTGGAACCCATGTCCCCAAACACTGCTCCAGGGTCAGCTATATATGGCTTTATCAGGCAGAGGAGAAAGGGAACTTTCTGTTGGCTACTGGAGAGAACTCAAGATGTGTGATCCCACGACTGGCTCCAACACAGCCCACCTATGACCCAGGGAGGCTCCCTGAACTCATGTCCCAGGGTCTTCACTGTGAGGTGAGGCTACCATTAGCCTCTGTTCCATGAGGCTATTGTGGGGACCAATGAGACCTTGCAGGTAGGGAGCTCAGCATGAGACTTCGCATTCATGCCTTCAACGATGAAGTACCAGCTGGGAGTGGTGGCTCACGCCTATAATCACAGCACTTTGGGAGGCCAAGGCAGAAGGATCACTTGAGCCCAGGAGTTGAAGACCAGCTGGCTAACATAGTGAGACCCCATCTCTAGAAAAAAAGAAAAAAGAAAAAAGCTGGGTGCAGTGGGTCACACCTATAATCCCAGCCCTATGAGAGGCTGAGGTGAGAGGATTGGCTGAGCCCACAGGTTTGAGACCAGCCTGAGCAACTTGGCAAGACCTCATCTTTATAGTAAATCATAAAAATTAGCCAGGTATGATGGCGCACACCTGTAGTTTCAGCTACTTGGAAGGCTGAGGCGGAAGGATCGCCTGAGCCCAACAGGTCAAGGTTGCGGTGGCCATGAGCCTGCCACTGCACTCCAACCTGGGCAATAGAGTGAGGCTCTGACTCAAAAAAAAAAAAAAAAGTTAGACTTCAACAAAATATTTTTTAAAAATTAGCCAGGTGTTAACGGTGCGCTCCTGTAGTCCCACCTACTTGGGAGGCTGAAGCAGGAGGATTGCCCGAACCCAGGAGGTCAAGACTGCGGTGAGCCGTGATCATGCCACTGCACTCCAGCATGGGCAAAAGAGTGAGACTCTGATCAACAGAAAGGAAAAAAAAAAAAGGCGAAGGCATGGGGTGAGGAGGAGGGGGACTGCTTCCAGATGGCTACATATGGTGGTTGGGGAAGACCTCTCTGGTGTGACATTTGAGCAGATGTGTGAATGACACAGCTGACTATGTAACAACCTCGGGGCAGAGAGCACTGTTCCCAGAGACAGGGAGAAGCCTGGTGTGTTCAAGACGCAAGATGAAGACAAGCGTGGCTTAAGGAGATGGGAGAATGGAAGTTTCCAGGCAGAAGTTGGCAGGGGCTAGTGGGCTGTGGTAAAAACTCAAACTCAGTAAGCGTAATTTCTTTTCTTTTCTTTTTTTTGAGGCAGGGTCTGGCTTTGTTGCTCAAGGTGAATGCAGTGGCACGATCATAGCTCACTGCAGGCTTGAGCTTCTGGGCTCAAGCAATCCTCCCGCCTCAGCCTCCCAAAGTACTGGGATTACAGGCATGAGCTATGACGTCTGGCTCAGTTAGCGCAATTTTTCTCCTATCATGAGTTGGCAACTCACATGCGACCCTATTGTCAAGAGACCAGACTCCATTCCCAGCTAATCCTGATGCCCAGGGTTCATCTCACAAGTGTGTAAAGGCCCAGGGTCACCTAGGCACTGACTGGTTAACACAGGTGAGCTACCCAGTTGGCCAGTGAAGACCATCTGAGAGTCTGACCTTCCCCTGCCACCTTGGCACTGTTGATTTTTTTTGAGTTGGGGTCTCACTCTGTTGGCCAGACAGGAGTGCAGTGGCTCAATCATAGATCACTGCAGCCTCGACCTCCTGGGCTCAAGCATCCTCTTGCCTCAGCCTCCCAGGTAGCTGGGACCACAGCTTCACACCACCACATCTGGTTCATTTTCTAATTTTGTAGAATTGAGGTCTTGCTATGTTGTCCAGGCTGGTCTCGAACTCCTGGACTCAAGCAATCCTCCCACTACTGCCTTCCAAAACGCTGTGATTATGGGCATGAGCCACCGTGCCTGGCCTGCTCTGTTGATTTTAATGAGCTGCCTTGGGGGGTGTTGGCACCTTGGAAAACTATGGAAACAGCTGGCAGGTCTGCAAAGACTGATGAGGTAAGGGGACTCACCCCTCTCCCCTCCTCTTTCTGTGGAAATCCAAGGAGCTCAAGACAAAGTTTCCCTCTGGAAAAGTCCATGGTTCTGAGGTAGGCCTCCAGCCTCCCACATACCCAGGCCCTGCCACTGGGGGTCCTGAACTGGATGTGGTGGGCACAGCGAAGGCTGGGGCCCTGGTATGGTGGTGCTAGGCAGGTATTTGGACAACCCTTGTTTCGAACTCTGGCTTTGCTCTGACTGCATGAGTGAAATCACTTCTCTCCCTGGATGATGACCTTGAAGTGTCAATGTGAAAAATGCATCTCTGTGCTTATCACTGCCTGGCATGCAGTACAGTCATAAATAAACTATAGTCATGTATTAAAGCTAGGGAAACTGAGGCATAGGTATACCAACCAGGGGCCTGTGTCCTGTGTCCTGGTTACTCCAGGTGATTCTTTTTTTTTTTTGAGTTGGATTCTCACTCTGTCGCCCAGACTGGAGTGCAGTGGCCGCTTCCGACCACCGCAGCCTCGACTTGCTGGGCTCCGATGATCCTTCCGCCTCAGCCTTCCGAGTAGCCAGAATTACAGGCATGCGCTACCACGCCTGGCTGATTTTTGATTTATTGTAGAGATGAGGTCTCGCTGCCCAGGCGGGTCTCGAACCCGTGGGCTCAGGCAATCCACTCACCTCAGCCTCCCAAGGGCGCGGGATTACAGGCTGAGCCACCGAGCCCGGCTACTCCAGGTGATTCTTTGCCTACCTCTAGGGCTTTGATGACCTATCCACAAATGAGGAGGTGGCCCTCGAAACCTCTGAAGCTCTGCCATCTTGGGAGTTTTTCTGGTTCTTAATCCCAGATGGGGATACCTACTCTTCCAACCATACTTTTCATTCTGCCTGTCCCGTCCCATGGCTCTGACTCAAGGAAAATGCCTGTTTGCTGCTCCAAAATGAACTGCAGTCTCGTACTTTCCCTTTGTGCCTGTGATCATAGTAAAAATAAAACAGCTCTTGCTCTTTGGGCCCTTGTGCTGAAGTCCTGCTTTTTTTTTTTTTGAGTTGGAGTCTCACTCTGTCACCCAGGCTGGAGTGCAGTGGTACAATCCCAGCACATTGCAGCCTCGACCTCCTGGGCTCAGGGTACCCTTCACCTCAGCCTCCTGACTAGCTGGGACTACAGATGCATACCACTACATCTGGCTAATGTTTTGATTTTTGGTAGAGATGAAGTCTTGCCATGTTGCCCAGGTTGTTCTCAAACTCCTGGGCTCACGTGATCTTCCTGTCTCAGTATCCTAAAGTGCTAGGATTTCAGGCATGAGCCATCACACTTGGCCTTGAATCCCTTCCAATCATTCCCTTGGGAAACCCCCAAAATAACTCTAGGAGGTGGGTACTATGATTATCCCCCTATTAATGAAAGGGGAAGGGACTTTCCCTGAGTCCTCTGCTAGAAAACAGCGGAGGAACCAGGACTCAGAATCCAGGTCAGCCCAACTTCAATTTTAATTTTTCTCACTCCGTCGCCCAGACTGGAGTGCAGTGGCCACTCCCGGCCACCGCAGCCTCGACCTGCTGGGTTCCGGCAATCCTTCCGCCTCAGCCTTCCGAGTAGCTGGAACTACAGGTGTGCGCTACTACGCCGGGCTGATTTTTGATTTATTGTAGAGATGAGGTCTCGTCAAGTTGCCCAGGCAGGTCTCGAACCTGCGGGCTCAGGCAATCCATTCACCTCAGCATCCCAAGGCGTGGGATTACAGGCTGAGCCACCGAGCCCGGCCAACTTCAATTTAAAAAAAATTTTTTTGAGTTAGAGTCTCACTCTGTCTTATAAGCTGGAGTGCAGTGGCACGCTTACGGCCATCGCAGCCTCAACCTGCTGGGCTCTGGCGATCCTTCCGCCTCAGCCTTCCAAGTAGATGGAACTACAGGCATGTGCCACCACACCCAGATAATTTTTTGATTTATTGTAGCGATGAGGTCTTGCCAAGTTGCCCAGGCTGGTCTCAAGCCCATGGGCTCAGGCAGTCCTCTCACCTCAGCCTCCCAAAGTGCTGGGATTATAAGCATGAGCCAGGGCGCCCGGCCTCAGGTCAGCCCAACTTCAGACCAGAGGGGGTCCAGCAGCTGAAGTTCAGGCTGGGAGGGGAAGTTCTGCCCTCAGTGCTGGGAAGGCTCAAGGCTGCCCAAGTCATGGGCATCACTGGACCAAGGGAAGACAAGCAGACACTTGACCTGACGGAAGCCTTTATTGAGACTTTATTCAGGCCTTTGGAACTGGGTGTGGCCGTCACTCCTGCAAGGACACCCAGCCAAGCCCCCAGAAGCCTGGCTGGCAGGGAGGAGTCCCAAACGGGAGTTGAAGGCCTGAGACAACCTAGCACAAGCCCAGGCGACTGACAGCTTCTCTCTGGGCAGCACCATGGGAGCCCTGCTACACCACCTGCTTCCTCTGGGGTTGGTCTTCAAGGCCACTCAGGAGTGGTTACGACAAATTATGATAAATGATGTCCAAGGGTCAGTGTTCAAAGAAGAGGAACAAAGGTAGTAGCCAGGGAGTCCTCTGACCCCGAGGGAAGCCGAGCGCGGGGGAGGCAGGCCAGGCACTCTGGGAATGGCAGCGAAGGCCTAGGCCTGGCTCTGGATGTCCACGGGGGGTGTCGTGATGCCCAGCTCCTCCCGCAGAGCCCTCAGGGGCTGCTCCCAGCGCCGCTCATAGTATAGGTTGAGGACACACGGGGCTCTGCGCCCATTCTGAACTGCCCATGGGATCAGTTCCGAGACCAGCACTCGCAGGCTCCTATGGGCAGCAGAGGAAAAGGTAAACGTAAGTCCCTGAGGGCCAGGCCCTCGGTGTGCTCAGCGCTTGGAGTGCATTTTCTCAGTGAAGCCTCACTCAGGCCTCAGAAGGAGGCAACTATGATCTCTACTGTTCCAATGAGGCAAAACCTCATGCCAAAGCCACATATCCTGAACACTCAAAGCCAGCAGCCACCCCCAGCTTGTTGACCTATGGACCTATCATTCTGACCTGGGACCGGGGTCTGGTCAAAGACAGCCCTTGGTCCTGCAAACACCCAGGCTTTATTCACTGCCCAGAAGACACCTGCCCAGGCCACTTTTACCTCTTTGCTCCATTCTTTCTTTCTTTCTTTCTTTGAGTAGGACTCTCACTCTGTCGCCCAGGCTGGAGAGCAGTGGCATGCTCACAGCCACCGCAGTCTTGACCTGCTGGGCTCCAGTGATCCTTCCACCTCAGCCTTCCAAGTAGCTGAAACTACAGGCATGCGCCACCACGTTTGGCTAATTTTTTGATTTATTGTAGAGATGAGGTCTTGCCAAGTTGCCTGGGCTGGTCTCGAACCTATGGGCTCAGGCAATCCTCTTGCCTCGGCCTCCCAAAGGGCTGGGATTATAGGTGTGAGCCACCATGCCCAGCCTGCTCCATTCTTTCTACCCTTGCTTTCTGGAGAACCGTGGGGGCTGCTAAGGGGCTGGCAGGCTCTTCGTGCTCCCAGGATCCCAGGCCCCTTGGACTCTGCCCAACCTGCTGCCACATGAAGACTTACTGAGCACTGAGTCGGACTGGTCCAAAGAAGGCACCCAGGATGCACATGGGCAGGCCGGTCTGGACAGCCTCAAACCACTTCACCACAATCTCCCCTGGGGGTGAAGGATGGGATGGGAGGTGAACAGGTGCCTGGGTGAGAAGCCAGTGGTGCTCACAGCAGGGCACACAGAGGCAGTTGCTCCTCCCTGATATTGACCAGGACCAGCTGTGCCCTGTCTTGGCCTGTGCTGGGCCCTGGGCAGTCGGCGGGAGGTACAGAAGAGGGCCCCAGAGGTAGGGAGAAGGCAGTCAGGGTTGGGAGGGAAAGCAGAGGACCCCAGAAGCTAGGCTGAGGAGTCCGGGATAGCTCCCACAGGCGCTTGGAGTTGCTGAGGTTTCACAGCGGGAAGATGGCTGAAGACCCACAGGAGGGAGGAGTATTGGGGTTTGGTAGCTGCCACATCTGCAAAGAAGCCATCCAGGGGCAGGGGATGGAGAAGGGGGCTGTGTGCCAACATGCTCAGGTAAAACAGAGAATGGGGTACCATGCCAGGCAATGGGGGGGCCAAGACAGCAGAGCTCTGTCCTACCCTGAAGCTACCCCGAGACACAGGCAGCGGGGCTGGGGGCTCACCCAGGATGTTGGTGGGCATTCCCAGCAGCGTATGCAGCATGTCGTGCACCTCCCGGTAGCGCTGGATCACGTACGCGAGCTCCTCATCATCCACGAAGCGGGTAGGTGCCCGGGTATCTGGGGAGACCCTCTGCCAACGGTGAGCCTCCCCTAGACCCTGTCCCAACAGCTCCCAGGTTCCGATCTGCCGGCCTCTCTGACTCTGCCACCACTCCCACCAAACCCATGTCCCACCAACTTTGTTTCTGTCCATACCTGCTGGGGGGCCCTGGGCAGGGAACACAGTAGGACCAGCACCCTACTCGGTTTACCCCACTCACATGTAACATTTGTGGCCTACTGTAATCTGTGGCAAAGGAACCCCTTACGGGGCAGGGGCAATGGGAAGCTAATTAATGGGTACAGAGTTTCAGTTTTGCAAGATGAAAGAAGTTCTGCATGACAATGTGAATATACTTCTTTTTTTTTGAGTTGGAGTCTCACTCTGTCGCCCAGACTGGAATGCAGTGGCCGCT